AAAAAAAAAAAAAAAAAAAGGAAAAAAGAAAGAAAGAAAGTGACTAAGTGCTGACTGAAATACAGGTCTGCCCCTCTCCAAAGCCTAGAGGCAGTCTGGGGAAAAGTGGGGGAAAGTTTCTGAGAAGGTTTGGGGTGAGGATCCATACATTTCTTCATTAGTTCAGTTTATTCATTACACAGACTCCTGGGAGCCCTCATAACCTGGCTAGAATCCTGACTGCAGCTTGTTAATGGCATGAGATGATTTGAAGGCTGCTTCCTGTGGGGGAAGGGGGAATGAGGGGGGAGGGGTTTGGGGTTTGTGGAACACCCTTGTGCTCCCTGGGGCAGTTTAACTGCTCAAAGCTGCTACTGCTCCGCCTCTCGCAGCATACTTCAAGGTATGTGGAGGGCATGGTTTTCTCAGAGCAAGTGAGCCTCCCAAGCCTGAAGAGGAAATCTGGCTCTGTCACTTATTGGTTGTGTGACCCTTGGCAAACCACTCAGTCTCTCTGTACCCAGTGTGTGACATGGACAATGCTCCTTCAGAATGGAGTGGGCAGAATAATGAAGGTATGTGATCAGAGCAGTGCTGGGCACATAGTAGGAGCTCAACTCATCTGAGACCCCTCCAACCTCCCCATGCTGCTCTGTTCCAGGTTAAATGCCTGAGTGACACTGAGGCAGGCACTTGGCTTTTGACAAGACTGGGACAACTGAGCAGTCCCGGCCTAGCTTCCACCCTGGCTCTGCTTGACTGCCCTCACTGTGGGGGAAGGGCCCCTAGTCAGCCCTGCAACTCCCTCAAGGTCACCTGAGCTGGTTTAATCTTCTCTTTCCTTCTCAGAAGCACGAGACAGTCCATGATCCCAGTTCTGCTGGTGTTGAGTGGCCAGTGTGAGGACTCTGGGGAACCCCATAGAGGCTCACAGGCTGCTGCACCTCTCACCACTGGTCCCATTGGTGGGTGGTCTGGAGCCCCATACCCAGTTCTGGTCACGCACTGCTCATCCATCCTTTGCTTGTGATCTCCATTTGTTGGTTTTAGCTCCACAAGCTAGTTGGGAGACACCAGGGCAGGGCAAGAGCCAGGTTGTTGCTGAGTCCCTGTGTCCTACTCAAAAGGGACTACCAGTTTAATGGAAGAGGCAGACAATGTCAATCTGGTGTCCTCTGTCCACAGAGAGGTAGCACATGGCATGGGATGAGGAGGGGGGCATTATTCTCAGAGGTAGCCCCTGAACCAATCTGTGAATATAGGGGGTGTTTCCTGGGAAGGGACTATTTCCTGGAGAAGCTGAGTACTAAGGCATGAACAAGTACTTACCACACAGATGAAGGAATGGGAAGGGTATTCCATGTAAAAGAACAGAGTATGCAAAGGTGCAACTGCAGATGCCAGAGATGGGGGGAGAAGTAGGATCCAATTTGGAACCACGGGTAAAGAAGTAGTATCCAAGCACAAAGGGTCAAGGAATACCCACTGGGCTGTGTCAGGGTCAAGGGAGTGCTAGGCCCACGATCTGCCCACTTCCCAGGGCTGGCAGTCACGGAGGCTGAGTAGCTCCCAGCTTCTCAAAGTCAATGAGTAACTTGGGGGGCTGGGCGGGGCCAGGCCTGCTGCTGTGGGCCCACTGGCCTTTTCCACTCCTGAGCAAGCGTGGCTGAACCGCCTACCAGCTCAAGTGTCCACCTTGTCCTGTCCCGCCCAGCCTGGCCAGAGCTCCCTGGAGAAGGAGCCCTCTCACCTGGTGGCCGGACCAAGGGAGCCAACCTTGGGCACTGGAGGGTGAGGGACTGGGAGCAGCGATGTGGGGAGGTCTGAGGCAGGGGTTAGTGGTGGGTGAAGGAGAAACACTGTCCTGTCCTCCCTGTCTGGGAAGAATTCCCAGGAATTCATCTTAAGAGTGGCCATTGGTTTGTCAATGCTCTGTGTTCCCAGCTCCATGCTGAGTGCTGGAAAATGCCAAGAGGGAGGCAGGGCTCCTGCCCTGGGGACCCTCCTTGTCTGGAGGGTAGCAGTGGGAGGCAGGACAGTACCAGAGACCCAGAACCTGTGTCTTCTGTTTAGGGAGGAAACTTCCTGTGGTTAAGTCCTCTGTGACCTTGGCCAGGCCCTGACCTTCAGACCTTGCCTGTAACATGAGGCCACTACAGGAAGTGACCCTTAAAGTCATCAGGGTCTTTCCAGCTTCTAATTTTTGTAATTTTGGGGACTACTGGAAAATGACCACTTTGGAACCTTTGAGCTGGGGAGGTTATGGCAGGAAAGAGACACAGGTCTGGAGATGAAACTCCAGTGGAGACCTTGAGGGGGCAAGAGGCAAGAGGTAGAGTGGATGGGTCTGAGGCCCTTGTTGGGCCTGGCCGAGACATCTAGGTAGCTAAATGCTACCCTGCAGGTGACAGGAAGCCATAGGCCCTTCAAAGGGGAGGAAGAGGAGGCTAGTATGTGGTGAGATCCGACTGGCTAGGTGTATGAAATGGAAACCCTTTCCTCACCCACCTGGGCTGGATCCTCACTGTCATGTCCCTCAGGCCTGAACCGACCATGGTCCCTGCCTGGCTTTGGCTGCTTTACCTCTCTATCCCCCAGGTGAGCTGGGTCCTGCCCTCCTCCTTCAGATCCTGACCTTGGGGATTGGCACACTTGCCCCAACTGGGGCAAGGTGTGCCAGTTGCACTGTTCATGGGAATAGTGTGAGGCGTGGGAGAGTTCAGAGCTGGGGCTATGGGCCTGTTGTGGGATCAGGAGGTCAAAGGCCAGAGGGATGGACTAAGGCATGACCAGGCCCAGGGAAGGGGCAGAAATTCCCCTCTTCTATCAGGTCCCAGTGCCCAGGCCAGAAGATAAAGCCTGGTGACAAGGTGAGAATCCTCCCACAGGCTGTCCCTGAGGCCCAGCCTGAAGAGCTATATGTGGAAGTTCCAGAAAACTATGGTGGAAATTTTCCCTTGTACCTGACCAAGGTGAGCCTCAGAGCTGGGTGGTCTACCCTCCCCCCAAAGTCCTGCTTCTCCTACCTTTAGCACCCTTCCTCTTTCTTGCTGTTTTTCTCTTAAACCCTGCTTTCCAGAGAGTACTTATATTTCATACAGGTTGAATGTCCCGTATTTGAAATACTTGGGACAGAAGTATATCGGATCTTGGACTTTTTTTTTTGGATTTTAGAATATTTGCATATCCATAATGAGATATCTTGGGGGATGGGAGCCAACTCCAAACATAAAATTCATATATGTTTCCTATATACCTTATACATATAGCTGGAGATAGTTTATATGCTATTTAAAATAATATGCATGAAACAAAGTTTGACTACATTGTTATTGTGACCTGTCACCTAAATTCAGAGATGGAATTTTCCACTTGTGGCACCATGTCAACTCTTAAAAAGTTTCTGATTTTGGAGTATTTTAGATTTCAGATTTTTGGATTAGGGAGGCTCAATTTGTAGTGTGATGACTAATAAGATTTTGATTCTAGCAGAGAGCAGAGTTTTAAGTCAAAGAATGAAATAATTGTGGTGAGGGTTTCAGCTTTAGAAAGAAGGGTTTGGGGAGGACCTAGGGAAAGGAGCACTGGCTCTTGGTTTGTTTTTTTTTTTCGAGTTGGAGTCTCACTCTGTCACCCAGACTGGAGGGCAGTGGCCGCTCCTGGTCACCGCAGCCTCGACCTTCTGGGCTCTGGCAATCCTTCCGCCTCAGCCTTCCGAGTAGCCGGAATTACAGGTGTGCGCTACCACGCCCGGCTAATTTTTTTGATTTATTGTAGAGATGAGGTCTCGCCTGCCCAGGCGGGTCTCGAACCCGCGGGCTCAGGCAATCCACTTACCTCAGCCTCCCAAAGGCGCGGGATTATAGGCTGAGCCACCGAGCCCGGCGGCTCTTATTTTTAAATCTCAGTCCTCCCTGGCACTCAATGTCCCCATATATAAAATGAGGCCATCAAGTAGAGGGGGCATCTTCCAGGCCTGACCACCACTTCCTTTGCCTCTGTTCTTCTCTGCCAGCTGCTGCTGCCCCATGAGGAAGCCGAAGGCCAAATTGTGCTGTCAGGGGACTCAGGTCGGACAGCTGAAGGTCCCTTTGCTGTGGATCCAGAGTCTGGCTTCCTGCTGGTGACCAAGGCCCTGGACCGAGAGGAACAGGCAGAGTACCAGCTTCAGGTATGGCCGGGTCAGGTGTAGGGGAGAGTAAACATAGCAGGGCAGGAACTGACTACCCTTTTCTGCCAGGTCACCCTGGAGACAAAGGATGGACATGTATTGTGGGGCCCACAACCTGTGCTTGTGCATGTGAAGGATGAGAATGACCAGGTGCCACATTTCTCCCAAGCCATCTACAGAGCTCAGCTAAGCCAGGGCACCAGGCCTGGTGAGTGACCAGACAGCCAAATTGCAGCTAAGTTAGGTGGGCACTGATGGACCAGCAGAGAGTAAAGAGATGACCAGACAGTTGACATAGGTCAGGGTCATAGAGCCAGGCAGGGTCCAAGCTGCCTTCTCCCATTTCTGTCCCATCCTGTTGCTTACTCCATTGAAGGTCCTCTTGGTCTCAATTTGCTCATATGCAGAGTGGGATAAAAAGCTGTGACTCAAGCCGGGCTCGGTGGCTCAGCCAGCACTTTGGGAGGTAATTTCAGCACTTTGGGAGGCTGAGGTGAGCGGATTGCCTGAGCCCACGGATTCGAGACCTGCCTGGGCAACTTGGTGAGACCTCATCTCTACAATAAATCAAAAATTAGCTGGGCATAGTAGCGTGTGCCTGTGGTTCCAGCTACTTGGAAGGCTGAGGCGGAAGGATCGCCGGAGCCCAGCAGGTCGAGGCTGTGGTGGCTGGGAGCAGCCACTGTACTCCAGTCTGGGTGACAGAGTGAGACTCCAACTCAAAAAAAAAAAAGCTGTGACTCCCCTATGCCTCCAGAATCCTGATATGATGATGGATATGGAAGGAAGGAACAGGAAGAGATAAGGGAGGCATGGGAGACTCCCTACTCCCCTCTTCCTTACAATTTACCCTCCCCCCACACTCCAGGCATCCCCTTCCTTTTCCTTGAGGCTTCCGATGAAGATGAGCCAGGCACAGCCAACTCAGATCTTCGATTCCACATCCTGAGCCAAGCACCAGCCTGGCCTTCCCCAGACATGTTCCAGCTGGATCCTCAGCTGGGGGCTCTGGCCCTCAGTCCCAAGGGTGAGCCTGAGTCGTGTGTACAGGGGAGGAAGGGTAAGGGAAAGCCAGAGAAGGTGGCACCGGAGCTGTGGGGGAAGGATGGTTTGGAGCTTGAGAGATAATAGAGAAAAGGGCATTCTAGGTGGAGAGAGTAGCAAAGCAAAAGGCCATGGAGGCAGGTACAGGCATAGAGAGTCAGGGATGGTGTGGATGGAGTGCCTCAGCCCTACACCTGGGGCCCAGGCCTAAGGGACAAGGATAGGAGCAGCTTGGAGGGTTGTATCCTAGGATGTTGCTAGAAGACTGTGGGACTGATGGCAGAAGAGACCAGGACCTGAGAGTTCAGACTAAAGGCACAGGTTGGGGATGGAAAGAAATGAAAATCATACACCAACTTGGCCAGCCACTCATTCACCCATCTACCATCCAACCACCCAAGCACTCCACCTTAGATACTCATTCAAACACTCTCCCATTCACATTCCCCAAACCTCCATCCATCCATCCAGTCAACCATCCATTCAACCAATTGGTCATCTGCCCATCTACATGCCTTTCCAACCTGGTCATCCCTCTACCCTGCCAGTCCATCACTCATTCATTGTGTGGATAGATATGGAGGAGACTTTACAAACTGTCAAGTCCTGGCTGGATTCCCTTAATGATACCAAAAGTCCCTCTCATCTCTTGGTCAAGAGAGGTGTTCATCCCTCACACCTGCCATATGTTTGGTTTTGTGTTTGGTACCTTGTGAGAAGGACGCCCTGGCTTCTGCTCCCTGGTCCCCTACTCAACCATCTTCCCTCTTCTAGGGAGCACCAGCCTAGACCATGCCCTGGAGGGTCCCTACCAGCTGTTGGTACAGGTCAAGGACATGGGGAACCAGGCCTCAGGCCACCAGGCCACCGCCACTGTAGAAGTCTCCATAGTAGAGAGCACCTGGGTGCCCCTAGAGCCTATCCACCTGGCAGAAAATCTCAAAGTCTCATACCCACACCATGTTGCCCAGGTTAGTGAGTGGCTGTCAGGAGCTAAAGCAGCCCCATGGGTGGTACAGCTGGGTCTGAGTTTCGTGGACATCAAGGGGGTGGGTCTGGGACCCAGCTTGCTCCTTGCTCCTTCCTCCACTCTTCCCATCACTTCCCACCATGGAGTGGGGTGTTCAAGACCCTGGGACCAGGCCCAAGGCCTCCACCTGCCATCCTCTGGCAGGTGTGGCTCTGTGCTCTGATCTTCCAAGCTTGCCCAAAGCTCAGAACAGCTGCCACCTCCTGCTGCCATGGGGATTGTCACCTAGGCTAGAAATGCCTCAGGCCTCTTCTAGGAATGTCCTGGGGTCAGGCCCAGCCTGAGAGGACAGAAAGTAAACAAGTGTCCCAAACAGAAGGATCCCACCTAGATTCCAGGACTAGGGAGGGCAGCAACTTGCCTGTGTCACACAGCTGGGGCCCAGGCTCCTCGCCCGGGAATCAGGTGCGGCACAAGGGCTGACATGGATTGTTCCTGCCCTTCAGTTCAGGGTGCCGTCATTCTGTCTCCCCTTCCCAGGTACACTGGAGTGGGGGGGATGTGCATTATCACCTGGAGAGCCAGCCCCCTGGACCCTTTGGTGTAGACACAGAGGGGATCCTCTATGTGACCAGAGAGCTGGACCGAGAAACCCAGGCTGAGGTGAGGGGAAGGGGAAGCCAGGGGTGCAGCCTGGGGGTGCTTGGTCAGTGTTCAGCTGGCTTTGGGAGAGTCATACCCCCTACAGATGCTGAGACAATAGAAGAATGCCCAGAAGAGCTTGAGCTGGCCCCCAGAAGGGAACTCAGAGTCAGGTCAGGCTGAAACTGCCCTTGACCCTGACCTGAAGCCCCCACTGTCCACTACAGTATCTGCTTCAGTTGCGGGCTCAGAATCTCCGTGGCGAGGACTATGCTGAACCTCTGGGGCTGCACGTGGTGGTGATGGATGAAAATGACAATGTGCCTGTCTGCCCCCCACCTGGGCCCCCACTCAGCATTCCTGAGCTCAGTCCCATAGGTGAGCTATGGGCCGTGTCAAAGGTGGGGGTGTGAAGTCCCTATGAATCATCTCAATCTTGTTTTTCTCTGGGAGGGAGACACAGTGTCAGCCCCCATGTCAGTGTTGCTCCCCAACACACACACACACACACACACACACACACACACACACACACACACGCTCAAGCTCAGTCCAGCACAAGAGAGGAATGGGTGATTCATAACAGCAAAGACATGGAACCAACCTAGGCGACCAACACTGGACTGGATAAAGAAAATGTGGTACATATACACTATGGAATACTCTGCAGCCATAAAAAGAACAAAATCATGTCCTTTGCAGCAACATGGATGCAGTTGGAGGTCATTATTCTAAGTGAACTAAGACAGAAACAGAAAACCAATACCACATGTTCACACTTACAAGTGCGAACACACTGGTACACATTGGTATAAAGATGAGAGCAACAGACGCTGGGAACTCCCAAAGCAGGGGGAAAGGGAGGGAGACAAGGACTGAAAAACCTATTGGGTATCACATTCACTATTTGAATGAGGCGTTCAGTAGAAACCCATACCTTTTCATCATGCAATAAACCCATGTAACAAACTTGCATGTGTACTCCCTGAATTAAAAATTTAAAAGCCGGGCTCGGTGGCTCAGCCTGTAATCCCGCGCCTTTGGGAGGCTGAGGT